TTTAGTATATTTCTATAATCATCTTAAACGTACTTATTTCACAGTCTCAAATTGCCACCCTTGAGGCCTTGGATTCTCCAGTTGGTTGTACTTACTAGCTGCCCCCGCCTTCCCCTGCCTCCATTCCTTGTTGGTTTATTTTTTATTATAAGCTCATAGTCACTGAGGGCCCTAGTTCCATTTCCAGGTCTGAGGTCATGTTTTTTATGCAGGAGTCAATACAGGTTTTTTTTAAACATCAGATAGTAAATATTATTTTTTAATTTTTTTAATGTTTATTCATTTGTAAGAGAGAGAGAGAGAGAGAGAGAGAGAGAGAGAGAGAGAGAGAGCCAGTGGGGGAGGAAGAGAGAGGGAGACACAGAATCTGAATCAGGCTCCCGGCTCTGAGCTGTCAGCACAGGGCCTAACACAGGGCTCACAAATCATGAGATCATGACTTGAGCTGAAGTCAGACACTTAACCACTGAGCCACTCAGGTGCCCCAATATTTTTGGTTTTATGGGCCATATGGTGTCTGTCCCAATGACTCTGTCATTATAGCACAAAAACAATCATACCCAATATGTATTTTTAAAAATGGGCATGGCTGCATTCTAGTAAACTTTATTTAAACAGTGGGCCAGAGTTGGTCCACAGGCTATAGTTTGTCAGCCCCTGCTCTTATCCTTAAGTGGGCATTAGAATTGTCGCCCCCAGGGGCGCCTGGGTGGCTCAGTTGGTTGAACGTCCAACATCTTTGGCTTAGGTCATGATCTCACAGCAGTCTGGAGCCTGCTTTGGATTCTGTGTCTCCCTCTCTCTGCCCCTCCCCCGCTTGTACTCCACCTCTCTGTCTCTCAAAAATAAACATAAAAAAAAAAAAAAGAAGAATTGTAGCCCCAAGCTTCCCTTGGTGCCCCTTCCATTTTTCTGTATGTATTGCACACACATTATTCCTTTAAGACAATTCTCTAAATTTACCTGATGATATTGAGATCACTTAGGGCACTTGTTAAAAGTGGAATCTCACGGGGGCTCCTGGGTGGCTCAGTCGGTTAAGCATCTGACTCTTGATTTCGGCTCAGGTCATGATCTCACAGTTCATGAGTTTGAGCCCTCTGTCAGAGGCTTGGGATTCTCTCTCTCCCTCTCTCTCTGCACACCTCCCCCCCCCCCCAATAAATAAACATGAAAAAAATAGAATCTCAGGATCTTGCCTTGTAGGCTCTGATTCATTGCATGTGAGGTGGAACCAACATGTATGTTTAGTAAGAACCCCAGGTGATTCTAATGATCTGAAGAGTTTGAAACTGCTCTAACCAAGGAATATGTGAAGAATGAACTTAATGTTGAGACTGACATCTACTTTAACACCCGCAGATTTTTATCTCAGTTCTTACACAATGCCACGTTGATTATTCAAATTCTTAAAATCAGAGTCAAGAAGGACTTCTCAGGCTATTCGTGTGTGGTCAGGAGACAGGATCTGTATGACTCATGAACAGCAACTGCTTTTTGGTGGGGTAGTCTTTTCAGTGCAATTCTAGAAAGGCCTTCTCCTAGGAAGCCACACCTATTTTTTATACTAAAGTTCCTTGAACAATAATATCATATTGCAGTATATACTTGGAAAAAGAGGAATTTCCCCCAACAGCTCGGGGATGACAGTTGAGATAAAGTTCATCCAACTTTCCTTGGTACTTGTTTACCCAAATAATCAGGGAATTATTAAGTTGCAAAAGTATTTAAGGGATTCGATGAACTTTCCAATGATTTATGAATTACAGCCAAGTGAATGATGTCAAAGACCATATTATTGCACAATGCTTTGATCTTCTTCTTACCATTGATACCCGTAACTGACATTTATATAGTTATGGCTGCCCAGATGTTTCTAATGTGCAGTCAAGGTTGAGAGCCACTGCTCAAAATTGTAGACACTTCACCCCTCCACCAGTGGCACTCAAAGTGGGGTCCTTAAACTAGCAGCTTCAACATCTCTTGAGAGCTAGTTTGAAATGTAAGTGCTCAGGCCCTGTTGCAATCCTACTGACTCTGATACTCTGGAGTTGAGGCCCAGCAATCTGTGTGTTTAGGAGGCTTTCCAGATCATTCTGATGTAGACTACTGTATGAGAACTGTTGCATTGTTCCCCTAGTGAATCCCAGCTCCCTGGATCCCTGCCCCTTGGAAACCTGTACCACTCTTCTCATTAAGCAGGGGAGTCTAGCCCCCCTCTTTCTTTTTTTTTTTTTAATTTTTTTTTAACATTTATTTATTTTTGAGAGACAGAGAAAGACAGAGCATGAGTGGGGGAGGGGCAGAGAGCGAGAAGGAGACACAGAATCTGAAGCAGGCTCCAGGCTCTGAGCTGTCAGCACAGAGCCTGATGCAGGGCTTGAACCCATGAACCGTGAGATCATGACCTGAGCCGAAGTCGGATGCTCAACCGACTGAGCCGCCCAGGTGCCCCTATCCCCCCTCTTTCGAATCTAGGTGAGCCTCATGACTTGCTTTGACCAATAGAAGGTAACTGAAGAGCTGCTGTGCAAGTTTCAGAGTCTGGGCCTCAAGAAGGCTTGAAGCTTCCATTTCTAAAAATTTTTTTTTTTCAACGTTTATTTATTTTTGGGACAGAGAGAGACAGAGCATGAACGGGGGAGGGGCAGAGAGAGAGGGAGACACAGAATCGGAAACAGGCTCCAGGCTCTGAGCCATCGGCCCAGAGCCTGATGCGGGACTCGAACTCACGGACCGCGAGATCGTGACCTGGCTGAAGTTGGACGCTTAACCGACTGTGCCACCCAGGCGCCCCGAAGCTTCCATTTCTAGAATGTTTTTTCCATAATGTAAGGAAACTGGTCTGGCCCACTGGAGGATGACAGGCCATGTGGAAGAGAACTGAAGAGCCCCAGACATGTGCCTGGGGCCACCTTGGAACTTCCAGCCCAGCCCAGGAGGTCATCTAGGCCAAGAATACCACAGAGCTGCTGGAGAAGTCCATCATGGCCAAAGGGTGCATGCTGAAAGTGGTACAGATGAGGTTGGAGCGCCAGACTCAGAGCCCCAGTGGGGAGCCATGTAGGGACATCCCACACACAGTTGAAGGTCCTGAATGCAGCATTCACCATTAAATGCACCAACCGAATGCAGCCATGTGAGTGAGTAGAGGAGAAATCAGCAGAACTACCCAGTTAACCCAGAGGGCTGTGAACAAGAATCAATTGCTGTGGTTTAAGTCACTAAGATTGAGCAGCAGGAGGGCTTATATTACAGCTGTACAATTTACCCACATACTTTGCCTTGAAGGGAAATTGATTAGCCCTTTAAAGAGAAACACTCTGGAAAAGTTGTAATTTTGGCCAGTACTACCACCAGGCAGAGTATTGGGTGCATCAGATGCAACTAATACATAGGGCTGGCTTCACGGGCACCCTGTACAGTCACACAGGCCCTGTGCTTAGAAGGGCCTTACATTGTTTTCACACCCTTGTTGTCACCATCTAGAAATTCTTAAAACTTTGAACCAAGGGCCCTGTGTTTTTATTTTACACTAGGCCCTGCAGATTATGAATCCAGTCCCACCAATACATAGTTCCGTCATTTATTCATCACAACACCCCCAGAATTTGGCTTATCAGTTTTCACCATGTATTTGGGATGCGTTGCGACTCAGCAAATAAAAAGGGGGGCGGGAGTTGCAGACTGTCTGGCCACAGACATAGCATGGCATAGCATTTTCTGAGCATATTAAGGAAAATCCACTTGCAGAAATAACCCAGAGTATATTTAAACAACCACAGGACGAGGCAGGGGGAAGGGGAAGAGACTGGCCTGGGAAGCTAGGCCCCAAGCAGGCTAAACTCACTATTAATAGTGCTGTGGCCTATTTTGGCCTGCCTGGTGGCCCTGAAAATTGCCCTGAGAACTGGGCCTGGGAAATGACTGTGGAAATCAGGTGCCTTCATTCTGGGGTATCACTGGAACCATGCTGGGCACAGACAGAGGTCTTTCTGACAAGCTCAAGGACATTTTGCAAAACAGGATTTTCTTTGACAGGGAATTAAAAAAAAAATTAAGGTTGGGACACCTGGGTGGCTCAGTCAGTTAAGCATCTGACTTCAGCTCAGGTCATGATCTCATGGTTCGTGGGTTCAAGCCCTGCATCGGGCTCTGTACTGATGGCGTGGAGCCTGGAAACTTCTGTGTGTTTCTGTCTCTCTCTCTGCCCCTCCCTTGCTTGTGCTCTCAGTCTCTCTCTCAAAAATAAATAAATAAACTGGAAAAAACATTAAGGCAAACTATCAGGAAATGATTGGGAATATTAGGGAAGAAAATGCATTGATGAGATCAAGTCAATAAGGAACTAACAGGAAACCCTAACCACGTGTTAGGCACTATGCTAAGCACTTAACATACACCATTTCATTTATACCCTCACATATAACTCTGTGAAGGCAGCACTATTATCCCCATTTTACAGGAAAGAAAACTGAGGCTTGGGAAAATGTGACCTTATTAAAGGTCACAGGGTTGATGAGCCAGGATTCAAACCCACATCATGGTACTCCAACTACTCAGGCTGTCCCCTACAGCTCTTCCTCTCAAACTTTCGTATGCAAAGACTCACCTGGGAATCCTGTTAAGATACAGATTCTGATTCTAGAGGTATGGGGTGATGCCTAGATTCTGCACTGCCAACGATTTGTCACGTGATGATGACCCCACTGGTCCTCAGACCCCAATTTGAGTAGCAGGGATGTGGATATTACAATAGTTTTCCTGCTTCTACTTTTTTTTTTTTTTCCAACATTTATTTATTTTTGGGACAGAGAGAGACAGAGCATGAACAGGGGAGGGGCAGAGAGAGAGAAGGAGACACAGAATCGGAAACAGGCTCCAGGCTCTGAGCCATCAGCCCAGAGCCCGACGCGGGGCTCGAACTCACGGACCGCGAGATCGTGACCTGGCTGAAGTCGGACGCTTAACCGACTGCGCCACCCAGGCGCCCCCCTGCTTCTACTTCTAACCTCCTACAGTTTGGTTTCTCTACAGCGGCCTGCGTTATTGTGTTCGTTTCCCCTGCTGCATAGTAAGTGACCTCCCAAAATTTGGCAGCTCACAATGGCAATGAACACTTATCTCACACAGCTTCTGAGGCTCAGGAATCCAGGTGAGGCTCAGCTAGGTGGTTCTGGCTCAAGGTCTCTCACAAGGTTACAACTAGGATGTTAGCTGGGCCTGTAGTCACCTGAAGGTTTGGTGGGGCTGGAGGAGCTGCTTCTAAGATGGTTCACTCATGTAGCTATTGGGTGGAGGTCTCAGTTCTTGTATGTGGGTGTCTCTGTAGAGCTGCTCGTGACATGGCAGCTGGCTTCTCCCAGAGTGAATGATCCAAGACAGAGAGAGAGAGAGAGAGAGAGAGAGAGAGAGAGAGAGAGAGAGACCAAGGCTGCAATGTCATTTATAACCTAATCTTGGAAGTGGCATGCCATTCTTTCTGCCATATTCTATTGGTTACACAAATCAACCCTGGTATAGTTGTGGGAAGGGATGCTTCAGAAATGAGAATACCAGGAGGTGGGGATCATAGGGGAGTCATTGTGGATGCTGGCCTGATGGAAACTAAGTGAGAGAATGCCTCTCTTCTCAGCTTCATTGATGTTGGCCTTGGCCATGTGACTTGCTTAGGCTACTGGAATGAGTGGGGAAGTGGCACATCCCAGACTAGGCCTTAAGACTTGTGTGTGTTTTTCCTCACCCCTTTGAGAGCTTTTGATCTCTGATGTAAAAAGAACATGGCCTTGGCAGCTGCTGATCTCAGAAGAATGACAGACCCTGGACAAAACTACATAGAACCCAACAGCCTAGAGCCAAGCACAGCCAAACACAATTTGGAACAGCTGAAATCTGGCTGGTCTGCTGGCATGTGAGTAGGAAATAAATATATGTTGTGAGCCACTGAGTTTTGGGGTGGTTTGTTAAGCAGCATTATTGTGACAATAGCTAGCTGACACACTTCTTGACATTATGTATTTATTTTTATCTGTATAGTCTATGGCAAGAATGCCAGTTCCATGAGGGCAGGGACTTGGTCTTATTTCCTGCAGTACTCGCAGCATCTGGACCAACGCCTGCCTGCCCCATAGCAGGTACTCAATAAACACTAGTGAGTGAATATCAGTGAATGAATTGATCTAATTGTAGAGCATGCCTGCTTAACCTTTATGCTATTAGACTGCCTTCGAGTTAGCCTAGAAAATTACCAAGTATTAGAAAAAGAATTGTCTTGAATAGGAGTTCTAGGCAGCATACCCTTTACAAAGAAAATGGGACATGCACCAAGTTGTCTGCCACTGTCTCTGTGCCAGATGCCATCCCTCTTCATCTGGGCCACCCAGGTCACCCCGGACTTCACCCAGAAGCGGACCCTGGAGTCACCCAGAAACCACAATCACCCTCTGCCTGAGAATGGAAGTGCTGCTTTAAATGACACTGGCTCACCTGGTTGGGTGGCTGTCCCCAGAGGAAAGCCAGAGTGATGGCTAATGACACACACAAAGAGAGGAAATCACCCCCCCACCCCTGCCCTGAACAGCTGCACCAGGAGACACCCCCCTCTGGAAAGGAGGAAGAGGAAGTCAAGAAAGCTGTAAAGCTGACTAACAATCTGGGGAAGGCAACAGTCACAAAAAAGCAGAAGGAAAAAGGCTGGTCCTTAAGTCACTAATTGTTGGGCTGACTGACAAAATACAAATCAATACCCACTCCTCAGGTTTTCCTCAGGTCCTGCCACTTCAGGGCTCACTTTGGGTTGGGAATATCTTGAATGCGAAACTGGCCAAATTCGTACCTTCCAACTACATGAACAGTGTGTTTTCCTTCAAATACAAATGCTCAGCGGGCACCTGGGTGACTCAATGGGTTGAGCATCTGACTTTGGGTCAGGTCATGACCTCACGGGTTCATGAGTTCGAGGCCCACATCAGGCTCACTGCTGTAAGTGCAGAGCCCTCTTCAGATCTTTTGTTCTCTTTTCTCTCTGCCCCACATCTGCTTGTACTCTCTCTCTCAAAAATTAACATTAAAAAACCCCACAAATACAAATGCTCAGAATAGATCTATGTGTGCTGATGTGGAAAGCTATCCTCAATGCTAAAAGAAAGGCAGGACTCAGGATGTAGAGTGTGTACCCATATTTATAAAAAACAGAATAAATATACATAAATGTTCACATGTACAAAAGAAAAACACTAAAAAGACACACACCAAATTGTTAACAGTGGTTTTATCTGGGAGACAGGTTTTGAGTAGGACAAGAATGGAGAGTTCCACATTTAACTTCAAAGTACTTGTTATAAAAAATAAAAAAATTTAAAAAATAAAGTACTTGTTATATATAAACTATAAGGTACCACCTGGGTGGCTCAGTCAGTTAAATGTCCAACTTCAGCTCAGGTCACAATCTCACAGTTCACAAATTCAAGCTCTGTGTTGGGCTCTGTGCTGACAGCTCAGAGCCCAGAGCCTGCTTCAGATTCTGTGTCTCCCTCTCTCTCTGTCCCTCCCCACTCTGTCCCTCCCTTGCTCGCACTCTCACTCTTTCTCTCAAAAAAAAAATTTTTTTTTTTAATTAAAAAAAAGTACTTGTTATGGACTGAATGTGTTCTCCTCAAATTGTAGCCCCCAACATGATGAGATTAGGGAGTGGTAATTAGGATTAGATGAAGTCACCAGGATAGGATCCTCATGACGGGATTAGTACTCTTGTAAGAGGAAATCAGAGAACTTGTTCTTTCTGTCTCTCTCTCTCTCTGCCATAAGTGGACACAGCAAGAAGGCAGCCATCTGCAAGCCAGGAAGAAGTTTCTCACCAGACACCAAATATGCCGGCACCTTGATCCTGAGGCTCCCAGCCTTCAGAACTGTAAGAAATAAATGTCTGTTGCTTAAGTTCCCCGATCTGTGGCATCCTGTTATACAGCAGCCCAAGCTAAGACATTATTTCTGTATGGGTTTTGTTTACCATGACTATCTTCCGTTTTATAATAAAAATATCAATGAAAGACTTTTTTCATACAAAGATGGCCATCCATTTCCATACCCAAATTGACATGCTCCTCCTTGCAATATGTTCTGAGGTGGTCAGATGTGGTTGTAAAAGGACCTCTTGTTTCATATGACGTTTGCCAGTGACAAGGAGGCCTCTCCTCCATTGCTCTGAGGTGAGGACTGTTATTGAATCCTTGACGCCATGCCTCTGCTTGCCTTGTCCTTTTAGTTACATCAGTGTTTACTTGCCACAAATTAGTGCTGACTTAACCCATCCGGCAGAAGATTGTGGTCTACAGCCATGCCCAGATCTGCCCACATCACCACCCCTCGGGAATGGGTGTGTTTATCCCACTTCTCATCTCCATCTGCTCCTTGGCGTTCCAGCTACTCTCATACCTCAAGCAATCTTCTAATAGCACACATAAAATTGACAGAGAAAGACTACTCTCTCCATCTGCTCTTGAAAACCTCTCTGATGTGTTTAGGAAACAGAACCTCAAATAGGGTACTTTTCAAATAGGGAAGACACTGATAGATAATTACACCCATAGTGATACCATTCATTTCTGCAGCTAGAATTCACAGGACACTTTCTTGTGTGGTGCCACTGAAGAACATTTTGATCTTTATGCTAACGTGGTGAGCTGGGCAACTATTATCAGTCTCAAAGAGAAAGAAACTGAGATTCCGAGGATAGTGATTTGCACTGGATCATCTAGTAGATAGGTAGCAAAGTGGATTCCAATTCACTGGTGGGTCTTAAATCTGGCTGTACATTAGTGTCACGTCAGGGGTCTTTTAAAAACTGCCAATCTCTTATTCTCATCCTGGCCAGTTGAACAAAAATCTCAGGGGAATGAGGCCTTGGGTATTAGAATTTAAAAAGAAAATCTTTCCAAGGATGACCTTGATATACAGTGAGGCTTGAAACCATTGCAATCCATAGGTAATAGATAAGCCAGTCTTTTGTTAAACTCACATGTGCTAATTCATCACCAGGATTAAGAGCTCTCTCTTATTGGGGTGCTATATTGGGGTGCTATACCACTCAACAGTAAAAAGGAAGAGACTACTGATCTCCACAACCACATGCAGGAACCTAATGCATCAGGTCCAGTGAAGGAAGCCAGATACAAAGGCTATATTTTTTATGATTCCATTTATCTGACATTCTGGAAAAGGCAAAACCAGAGGGGCAGAAAACAGATCAGTGAGTATCCAAGGCTGGTGGTAGGAACAGGGGTTAACTACAGAGGGACAGCCTGAGAGAATTTTGGGAGATGATATAAATGTTTCTATGCCTTGATTACGGGGGTAGTTACACTATATGCAGTTGTCAAGACTGAAAGACTATACACAACAAAAGGTAAATTTTACTGTATGTAATATATATCTTGAGAAACTTGATTAAAAAAACACGTATACACAAAATGAGATTTACTACACACCCACTAAAATGGCTAAAACTAAAAAAGACTGACCATACTAAGTACTGGTAAGGACATAGAACAATGGGAACTCTCATACATTTCTAGTAAGAATGCAAAAAAATAAAAAGAAAAATAAAAATAAAAGAGAGAGAGATGGGATTCTGAGGACAGTCAGACCTGGGCTTAAACTCTGGCCTTACCACTTATCACTGTGTGATGTTGGGCAAGTCACTTAGGGTTTCTAGGCCTTGGTTGGTTCATCTACACATGAGATAATAGTAGTACCTACCTGCCTACTTTATAGGATCAGCATAAAGCATAAAGGAGATAATGCTTGTAAAACACTTAATCCAATGCCTGACACACAGCAAAAGAAGCAATAACACTAGATTTTGCTATTCTTCTTCTTTTTTTTTTAAATTAATTTATTTATTTTGAGAGAGAGAGAGAGAGTGTATATATGCACATGCACACAAGCATGCAAGCTGGGGAGGGGCGGAGAGAGAGGGAAAGAGAGAATCCCAAGCAGGCTCCATGCTGTCACTGCAGAGCTCAACATGGGGCTCAATCCCATGAACACTGAGATCATGACCTGAGCTGAAACCAAGAGTCAGATGCTCAACCGAATGAGCCACCCAGGTGTCCCTAGATTTTTGCTATTCTTAACATTATTATCATTCTTCTTGTTATTGCTTCCTCTGAGCTCATCAAGAGGTGGATGATGTTTCTAAAGCACCCAGCACTGTTCTTGGCAAGTTGAAGGTCCTCAATACACATCTGTCAAATGAGAGAGTGAACATATGGAGCCACACGTCAATGGAGGAAGTAGGCCTCTATTTGAGTGGAACCGGCAGAAGGGATACCCACAGCCATCCTTGGGGGCACTCCACTTCACATGCTAGAGGTCTAATATCGGGATCCCCACCTAAAACCAAGACCTCCAGAATGTTGAGAAGTACAGAAGTTTTACTCTACTTCATCAGCTCGTATACATGACCTAGATCTCCCTAATAGCTTATAAACATTCTCCATGTGTTAGAAAATGCTCACAACCAATTTTACTATGGGGGAGGTTCACAAATACCTGCAATACAGCCTAAAGGAAAGGGCATTTGGGGATCTTCTGGTTGGGAAGGTAAGGTGATAGTGAAACTGAAAAATAGACTGAAAATGTATTCATGGGCCAGCAAACACCAAGAAGATTCCTTAAGAAGATAAATCTGTCTATGTGGAGTTCCCACTAGAGGAACCATGGGCAGAGATTTCTTATCAAATCACAAAGGTCGTGACCAACCCTCTGAGGCTATCAAGAGATGGCTGTGCACCATCAAGAGGAAAGCTGAGGGTAATCTGATGCAACGCCCATTTTTAGCATTCCTTTTGCACAATACAATGTCTGACTTTTGCCAGGGAAGTCTGCCCACCTGTCAGGAGATATCAGCACTCAGGACAGAAATTCCGAATGAAGACAATCTTTTCTGTCCAATACTCAGATGAATTAAACACACCCCATTAGCTTTCAGCTGGTGCTCTCCTTTCAAGCCTGTTTGGGGGACCGTAATTTCCCCTCGCACACTTCATTTCTTCACCTTACGAGGCTTGGTGCAGAGGTGGTTCACAAAGTCCAATGCTAAAATGAATACACTTTTCTCAAGAGTGATCTCTTGGGGATTAACAAGCACAGCTGTTGAGTTCAAGGATCCTGGTACAAAAGTACCTTCCCACAAAAGTCTGTGTGTAAGTGCCTGTGTCGATCCCAGAGAAGGGCTTTTAAAATGGAACAGAACAGTTTGTTCTTCTTTGTTTTCAAATGCCTTCATTAGAGAGATAATTTAAGAGATTCAGTTATTCACTAAAATATTTATTATGTACCTAGTATGTGCCAGACAGTGTTCTAGGGGCTGGGGATACAGGATGAACAAGTCAAGCAACCTCTACCCTTACGGAGCTCACATTCCAGTCAGGATGACGGGCAAGAGACAAACAAGTGAATATTCAGTATGATGTCAGGTGATTGGTAAGTGATAGGCAGAAAACAAAGCAAAGTAAGAAGCTGGAGAGTGATGAGGGGGTGCCATTTTGGAAAGGGTGACCAGAACAGCTATTCAAGAAGAATCCTGAATGAAGCAAGAGAAGGTACTGTGATTGAGAGTTGCCAAGTGCAAAGAATAAACAGCAAGTGCAAAGGCCTTGAGATGGGAGCATGCATGGTGTCCCTGATGAACTATATAAGAAGGCCACCTGCTGGTTTTTTAAACAGATGCCCTGGGATGCCTGGTTAGCTTACTCGGTAGAGCATGCAACTCTTGATCTAAGGAAGATGGAACCAGTAATAATAACAGCAACAACATCAGCTAATATTTACTGTGGATTTACTATGTGCCTGGCACTGTGCCAAGGCCCAAATGTGGACTGACCATCCAATTCAATCTTCACAGGTGGGAACTATTATTATTCCTGTTTTATGAACAGGAAATTGTGGTTCAGAAGTTAAATAACCCACCCAAAGTTATCAATAACCTGACATACAGATTCAAACAGATCTGTCTGCTGCTAGAGCCCATATTATTAACAACTGGCCATGAAGCATGTTTTACACAGAATAAAACAAGTCTTTCCACTCACCCACAACATTTAAGAACAAGAAAGTTAAGGCTAATGATGAGAACTTCAAGTTCTCATTTGGGGGGGAGGGTCACGCCTACCAGCCCAGCCAGCTGCCAGAAGTGGATGAAATTTTCTCTTCCCCTAAGTGCAGAGCTTCAACTTGGAATTTCTGATGTCTGCATAAAAATATGGGAGGAACTACAAAACTTTTTCTTTGTATTCTTTGAAGGGCCTTTTCATAGTTGCTTGGCTTTTATCCTGCACTGTTCTCCTCATCCATTTTCTACCTAACTTAAAGAGAAAGGAGTGGTTTTTCAGGGGGAAAATATCAAGTTCAATCAAATCAAACACAGTTGAACACCCATCTCTTTCTTTTCCTCTTATTGTGGTAAAATACACATAACATAAAATTTACCACCTGAACCATTTTTTCATTTTTTTTAAGTTTATTATTTCGAGAGAAACAGAGTGAGTGGGGGAGGGGCAGAGAGCAAGAATCCCAAGCAGGCTCCATGCTGCCAGCACAGAGCTCAACACGGGGCTTGAACTCACAAAACTGAGATAATAACCTGAGCCGAAACCAAGAGTCTGATACTTATCCGACTGAACCACCCAGGCGCCCCATCACCTTAACCATTTTTAAATGTACTATGCAGTAGTATTAAGTACACTAAGTAACTGTTGTGCAACCATCACCACCATCCATCCCAAGACCCCTTCACATCTTCTAAATCTGAAAGTCTGTACCCACTGAACACTCCCATATTTACCTTCTCCCCAGCCCCACAACCACGGTTATACTTTCTGTCTTTATGATTCTTACTATTCTAAGCTCCTCCTATAACGTGGGATCATACAGAA